CGCTTGCCTGCGGCGCTCGCTTATCCACAACGTTAGTAGAGGTCTATATCTCAAGTACTATAAAATAGAATAGTTCAGGAATCTATTGTAAGTGCCGCTATATCAAGGTAAACGCCGTTTAGATAGTTTCTTGATAGAATCTCTATTCAATCATGTAAACATCGCTTCGACGGTGAGTGCAGAATCTCGGTATGATCTATGGTATTCTTATTCTACTTACTAACTAAATCGCCTTCTTATAACGCACTTAAAAACTAAATTTAAGATATTCTCTAATAAGTATATAAATAGTACATAACTAGAGGAAATAACTGGTTATAAGATACAATCTCTTATGTATCTCGCGATTATAATGGGCTAAACGCCCTCTTCCTCCTATACTCGTCTACGACCTCGTGGTACCTACTTAGCTATTCATCTACCCTAGTTGTTACTTAGGTAACTATCTCGCCTTCCATTCATATATAGATAGCTACGTAGCCTAGAGCTTAGTTTTCTTTTAAATACCCTCTTATTACTCAGGCGTACCTAATTGTGCTTTTGAGCTAAAGACTGCTCGCCAGAGTCATGCCTCTTACACTCTATAACCCATTAATCTATAGTGCGTAGTATAAAAGAATAACAAAGTGTTCTGTACAGCATCCTAGTGTACAGCAGTAACTATTCAAGTCTTCTAGATAAATAGATTTGACTTGAATTGTAAGTAAAAATAAAATATAAGAGTGAGTTAACTATATATCATAATGCCGTTCATACTACATCTTGACTTCGCCTGGGAAAGTTAATGGCGAGGATCTTAATTATAGGAGTGTTATGTTACTTCCGTTCGCGATCCTAGCCTTAGCACTATGCAGTTTGGGATTTTTAGTGAGATTTTGGGTGAGCGGCCAACCTATAGGGTTCCTTAGTAAGACTAAGTGATGCAGAGTGAAAAATGAGTATTGAATTCGGAGTACATCTTTCCATCGGAACAAGTTAATGCCGGGCCCGACTTTTACCGTGCAGAGACTGAGCGTTGTAGATGAAAAGCTGGGGTACCTACGTTACCACGAGACCCGAGGTCTCTTGCTGGTCTAGGTAGTAGTTTTAGTAAGGGCTTGGCAAAAGCAGGTAACTCGCTCGTGGGGTAGGATAACTAGTATTTTTAGGATTATCTGGCTGCATGTTCCAGCACCGCACTTCCAGCCTCAGGCTAGGAACATCCCGCGTCATGCTTCTGTCAGAACAGAATGAGAACAGGCAGCGCTTTCAAAATGACCTGAGAAAGAATAGGAAAAAAAAGCTGCGTCCAAAATTTGACCACCCCGGGGTCGTGTACCTTCGTGATTTGCTCCGCAATGCGCATGTCCCTGGTCGAGAGGAATGTCGCCTCCAGTGTATCCTCATCTCCTCCCCAGGGTTCCGAAGCCCCTCTTCCCCAATTTCCCATCTAAACAGATAACCATGCTACCACTCGGTTCCGAATACAAGCAAAGAATTGATCAGGATTGCGAAAGCACCCCCCACCCCCATTCCGACAATAGCGCTTTCTTTGAAATGTCCAGTAACATCCACACCCAAGCTTTCAGGAGACGACTGGATATCCATGCTTACTGTTAGGTCCGACTAAAATGGTGTGGTATCCGTCTTACCCAGTTGTACTAACTCCCTGTACCTCAAAGAAATGTCAAGCTATGGGAATGCTAGAAGGTATCCAATGGCCATAGAGAAAGAGGCGGGGTATAATCTATAAAGCGTTTGATAGCATTTTATTTCCTCTCTATTAAGAGAGGTCATCATCTCTTGAAGTTCTAACATTTTCGTATTACGGCTTTCCTAGTCATCTTCACTTTAGACGAGACAAACTCTCCAGAACTTCGACCACGTTCAATCACCCAAAGTAAAGCGAGATGGCTCTCAATTGCAAGACAACGGAGACGATCAAGTTTGATCGACTAAAACAAAAGATAGCATTTCAAGAAGCTGTCGGCAGCCCATACTTCATCGCTCACGGCACACATCCACCCACACTTATGATCACTGGCATGAAAGATGGTCTACCTCCCTATAACACACCCTTTCTCGAGGACATCGATGACCGTCTTAACAATGTCGAGAAACGCCTGGAATCAATGGATGCTAGTGGGATCGCTTATGCGATTGTCTCACTCACCTGCTCAGGCGTCGAAGGTATCCTATATCCTGACGAGGCGGTAGAATTGGCGAAGAAGACCAATGATGCGATATATGAAATTTACGTCAAGGTCCATCCCACTCGGTTCGGCTTCTTTTGTTCAGTGGCGATACAAAAGCCAGAAGAAGCAGCGAAGGAGCTTGGCGCAAAAGGCGCGTTGTTCAATGGCTTCACCAATATTCACAAAGGCGATGTCAGTAACGTACATTATTTAGATGATCCAGTTTGCGAACCGCTCTGGGAGAAGGTTAGCGAGTTAAATGTTCCGATGTATGTACCTTCATCCTCGAATTTCAGCATTGGACCAACAACGAATGTATGAATCTTATCCCAACTTGTCACAGGCCGCCTATGGATTCGGTGTCGAAACGGCTGGACATTCGCTTCGAATCATGTGTTCTGGCATCCTCGGCAGGTACAAGAATGTGCAGATCATCCTGGGTCATTGTGCGGAGTCTCTGCCATTCTTGGCGCACCGTATCGATCACAGAATGGCGATCGGTATCATGGGCAATAACGGTCCCTATGAAAATTCCATAATGTATTGCCTCCAGAAAAACTTCTATGCTACATTGGCTGGAGTGCGCCGAGAAAGCACTATGCGCAATACCATTGATGAGATGGGAGAATCTTGTGTTCTGTTTAGTGTCGACTATCCATACGAGAGCAATGAAGATGCTACTGATTGGTTTGATGGGATACAGATGAACGAGAACACCCGAGAAGCAATAGGATGGGAGAATGCAAAACGAATCTTCAAGCTCACGTGAGCAAAGGGATATCGGATAGATGAACGAGCGTCAGTTGTCTTAAGTGATGTTGTATGTTGAACCGGCTGTTTTCATCTGAATCCCAATTCCAATTGAAATTCAAGACCTAAAACGTCCGTAACAATTTTGCCACTAGGTAGCTTCTAGGAGCCGTGCGACTTATGATGTCCATGTATGGCACTCATTAGGGGAAATTCATTACACCCGGTGATTATAGAAGCCCATAGGTTCCTAAGAAAGGGCGGAAAGTCACTAACGGCTCAGAAGACAATGGCGCCCATGTGGCTGCAGGTGAAGAATGGCCCAAAATACATCGACCAGCACGCCACATACTTCAGAGAAGCAACTAATTACAGGTCGTAGACAAATACAGGTAGAATCGGGTGCCATTGAATGTAATGCAGCTTCGATACTCTCCAAAGTGCCAATAATCAGAGATGTCAACAACCAAGATAAATTAAGCTTGAGAGTGCGGCTTGATCTGGCCTGGTAGAGAATCTCTCAAAGTCTGATTTGATCTTATTTTGGTAGAATACTGAGTTGTGATTGCAAGATATCAAAATGAGCCAACATCACAAAGTAAACCAGCACTTCTTCAAGAAAGGGGTAGGATCAGGCAAATCACTAGGCAACCATTCCCCGCTTCGAAGCTCTCTAAATTTTCGCTCAAAATCGAATATAAAAGACGTGTAATACCCAAAAGCCTCCTCACACATCCCAAAACTCCACCTAAACCATCCACTTCAAACAATGTCACATTCGTACAAAGAGGACCTTCCAAAACGTTACCTTCCAAGATGCAATTCCTCACCACCATCGCCCTCACCCTCACTCTCGTATTCTCACCCTCCGCCATTGCAGCCCTAAACGCGCAACATGCGTTTCTGCATGCCTCTCTGGCTGCGGCTTGTGTGGCAGCCAGAGGTGTCTCGCAAATTGTCAGATTAACTGGTATGTTGAGCTTGAGCTTGTTCCTGAACAACTTCTCTTCCCTCCCGTGTCTTGAATTAATCCAGGGATGGATTTGAGAGCTAATTTATGTAATGTGCAGTTCTATCTGTTGCGCGATTCACAACGGGGTATGCACCGACTGCGGTACTCAGTACGAGTGCGATCAGTAGTAATGTGATCAGTGCAGGGTTGCACGAAGGACTAAACATTCCTTTATATTTGAAAATTTGAGAAGATTGGTAAAATTCTGTAGCTTTGAATATACAGATACGATCCAATAGTGTGTAGTTACATTAAGTAAAGATGTTGAGAATATATCTTGCTAATCTGCTTCGATTTTTCGCGCCTCCTTCCAAGTTTGAATGATCTTAAAAGCGATAGTGACTAGCGCCAAGTTGATCTAAGCACAGGCATCGTATTTCCATGCTGAAAGCAAGAGAATGCAGTGTCAAAAGTCAACGCGAACCTCGTTTGTTCTAGCAGGACCAATGCGTCTTAGCATTAAGAACGAACCGCTAATCATTCAATTACTTAACAACTGAGTCATTGAAAGCGACCAAATATTACAGATTTCATCATCAAGCTACTATAGGAGGAAAAATTATGCATTACTTATTGACGACCGGGAAGAGTGTTCGGGTTGCGGAGAGTTTCTTATGCAGGGTGTAAGCGCGAACCACACTAGCGTGGTGGGCCACCGTCGGGTCCCCAATGTCATCACCGTATAATAACAACAGACTCCCCAAATCTTCCAAGGAGGACTTCGAGTCCATCACACAGCCAATACCTTCATCCATCGAACGCGATTTTACCGGATCTTGGACGTTGGTGTCCCGACTATACGAGCGCTATTGCGATGAGTTAGAAGCATGCAAGGAGGGAACTTTGATTGAGAGAGGATGAGCCGGGTCGGCCTGAATCGCGGAGTTATTGAAGAGTCCAATAGGGGAAGAGCTACTTCCAGGACATGGAGCTACTACAATGATCTGTTTTCGAGATATTCAACCAGTACAAATTCCTTCGAGGGCCGGGGCGAATGAAGACGTGTCGACAACGTATACACTGCAAAACAACAACCGTGCAAAGCCGATCCTACCACGATACCTTTTGAAATCCTGGACCGATACCGTGTTACGGCAACTACGATCCCACATCAGCGAAATGCGAACCGCCTCGTTTTTCCTGAACAGTCATGATCACCACGTGAAATGTTAGACCCCTCGAAGCGTCTTACTTTTCAACGAGTCATCAATCCGACTTTCTATAGGATTAAGCCCAGTCTCAACCCTTGGGTTCTCTTACACACAGCTGGGTAGTCATGTCCACTGCATTTCACAGTCGGTGGTATCGCTATTACAGTACGAAACGAACGAAACCAAACGATCCTAAGCACCCGAACATGCCTTCAATCTTGAATCTTTTGTCCAACTTTGGTCCCGATGCTTATCGGAAATGTTGAAAAGATGAAAGTGAACACCTCTTAGCTACCTTTCCCTTTTCTGCTTTATCCGAAGGCGCCGTTCCCGGGTTCTGTTTACGCCTAGTCCGTAGGACCACCAACATTTCTTGCCATAAATTTAGACATTTCGGATGCCTTGAGCCAAGAACCTAAAGGAATACGCCATTCACTCGAATCGCTGTTCTTTTCATGGTTTCCATAATGGACGAATTGGTTTAACAATCAGACCTCTCAACGATTACCTGAGGAAAAGTTTCCACTCCGTTGACATAAACTCATGTTTCTCGGTAGGGCTAGCACAACAGCTTCTCATATTCAAACAAGCAGGGAGCAAAGCAAGCATCATACATCAAGTGAAAGACATGACGCTTACAGATAAAGTATGGCATTGCTGTCATTAATGCGTCATCTGAGCTGATCCTCCAAAGCGACCGTAAACTCGTCCAACTGCACTTGTCATTTCTAAACCCCTCCAACATACGCTCCGCCGAGAAAATTCGACCAACCATCAAACCTCCGAAGCCAATGAGTTCATCTTGTCAATTTGTTCTCGCCTTATCATATTCATCACTTCGCATCCATAACCACAGGACTGGCTAGTGACGTAGCCCTTACCGCACTTTGCATTAGAGCTGCAGTCGCCATAGGTAGCGCGCTGGAGCTAAGCACCAACACCATCACTAGCAGCAGTCTAGCACTACTTGCCGTCACCAGGTATACCACAGGCTTCCTAGCAGTACGTTCTGGTGCAACCGAGAGAAGACTCGTAATGGCACGTTTGCTCCTTGAAGGCGAAAATTTCAGATGCACCCCGAACCGTCTCGTGGCGGAAGACGAGCGACCCATCAGTCGGAGCGAACGAAATGTCGCTGTAGATACTGTTATCGTCTCCCAAAGGGTGCGTAGCGCACTTGCGGTATTAGGCAGGGTAGGCGCTCTCGGGAACTTTCATGACGTATTTGTTGAGGGTTATTAAGAGTAATATTGATGAGGACTTCAAATGAAGAAGAGAAGGCACATGCGTAGGGAGCCGCGTTCCTCGACCAAAGCCGCGTGGGGGAGAACAGCAACATCAAGATTGACATTGGGCTCAGCAGTGGCAGCAGCAGCAGCAGCGAGAATTGCATTGACCTAAAATCGAGAGCAAGAAGACTAAAACATTCACGATGGTGATTGAGATGCTCGAAAGTTTCAGAGTTAGCAGGTAAGTAGATGGTGAGTGATCGCGATGTATCTGATGACCCTTTCTTCACAGCGAGATACCATCTCTCTTTATACTTCCTTCATTTGCTTCACGCCATGTCCACTTCTTATTATCTTCTCTACTACCTCATTCTTATACAAATCAAAGTGTCATGCATCTTGCTTCCTATATCGCGCACAAAGTTCGGTCACCGAGAGGAGAACGTTAAGCGAGGACCGAGACATATAGGGTATGTTAGTATTTAGTCTTAAACACTAACATTCTAAGGCGCGATGACTATTATGAGGAAGAATCACACAATATCAGAGTAAGTAAAGATATCAAGTGTACTTTGCATTTCATGTTCAATGGTTGTTTGGATCAAAGGTACGAAAACATCGTTATACATGTCCCTTGCTACGTACCGAGAACCAGCAAAGCCCAAAGGGACGAGGAAAAAGAAAGATGCAACACACCAAGACTACTCAGCCTGGCATCCAAGGCATCCAGTCCAAAGGATGCTCAATATTCTTTGTATAACGTACTGCGATAGATTGGGCCGCCTCGAAGCTGCAATCAAGTAGACCTTATCACGGACAATAGATGCATTCAAAGCAATGAGCTGACTCTGTGGGGAAATTGAAATCCCTTGAATTGGTACAATTACCACGTCTCAAGGCCTTGCTCAGCTGTACTATGGCTCAGTCACAGAGGTACGCTTCACTGTGCTAAGCGAAGAGAAAGAGAGAAGAGGGGTTGGAAATAGCATAATCTGATAGGAGCGCGAAAAGAAAAGTGAGGTTTCGAAATCTACGCCTCTGATGTGTGGCGTTTTGCAGCTGTAGATCAATCCAGTATGCGATTTGAGTATGAGGTACAAAAATGTAAGGGCCGGACCGCGGAGAGGGCTCCCAGATTGTCCCTGCGTCAGAAAAAACAGCGTTACTGTTAGGCGTCCCATACCCCCGCACTCAGCTCAGGATCTGACGCCGTATCCAGTTCTGCTAGGCGGGCAGGGGTATTCAGGAGGATACTAGTCCTCGGAGAGCATTCAAGTCCTTCGAGTGTTGTTGTAATACTAGCCATCAACTGCTTAGAGTACAGTAGTAGCCGTGGTCAAAGTACCACAAAGCCTGCATCATCCGCATTTAGGGAAAACCGACACGTTACGAGCTCTTCTACCATGGAAAGGTGCTTGCTCTCCATTCAAGCTGCGGTTCTGCAATCAATCTGATGCGAAAAAGCACTCGAGGGTCGAGATAAGAAATTGGTGCACGCAGGGTAGGAGAAGTTGAGATTGGTGAGCCTAAGGAGCTCAATTCGCTTAATGATATCGCTAGAATTACCAGGAACGCTCAAAAGAAAGAAAAGAGTAAGTAAAAGAAATATACACTGTCAGGCCGGGCCGATGATCAATCATTTTCCACACATGATTGGCTGCACCGAATCAAATATGGTCCTGAGGGTGCATGCACATGTCGGTGTAATTTGTGAGACGTACAGCACCCCCCGCTTCACGTTGGTTGCCGAACGCTGTTGTGACAAAGGGTGGCTTGGGACGCCAACTAGCATTGTAGCGTGTTGTGGTGTGCAGTCGCAGGATATCGTCCTTGGTCTAGGGATAGGCCACAAAGAGATGGACGCGCGTTGCTTACTGCAGAGGAACACCAACGGGGCGAAGAATACACCAAGTGCATGCATGTTTCTGCAACACAAGTAATGGCACAGACCAACAAGGTCGTGGAATAACTTGTGGGTTTCGGATTTATGAAGGCAGACATTCCATGGGTATCTCACGAGGAAACGGGGAGGCCACTGGCCATTCGAAAGAGCTCAAATGCAAGCCCCGGCGTTTCTCGTACCATCATCTCAACGTCAGGCCGTAGTGAGAGGCTGGGGTTTGCACGGAAGGCCTGAATGATAACGTCCCGTAGGCCGCGGTCTGAGTGGAAAGTGGACTCGTATGCCTCTTGGCACGCCTCTGGAAATTCGGGACTAGCGAGATGCAAGTTGATCTGATCGACAAACTTGCTGCGCGCAAGCGCCTTCAGGCCAGCGATGCCATATCTGCAAGGAATTGTTAGCCAGTGTTTGTCATCGGTGGCGGCTGAGTGATTGGAGAGGCAAGAAAAAACGCTGACGCGTTCGGTTTCGAGAGGGCATTTTGACTTTTACAAATGGCCATCATTGGTCTGTCCTGTGCTCTTAGAGAGAAAAGGAAACACAGAAAGGGGGTGTGCATGGTGTGGGGGAAAAGGCAGCAAAAGCATTGATTGGCGTTATGTTCATGTTGGTGACGCACATGGCGGGGGTGGTCGGCGTTTGGGAACGCCGTGCGATGCACAGCATCACGGGAACCAACTCTGCAGATGCAGATGAAAGCCACCCCGCAAGGCAGGGGTCAGGATAGAGAAAAGAGAAAAAACAATAATGGAAGAATAGTGTGAGGAAAGGCGGTACGTACTTCTCAGCGATTGCGTACACTTTGGCATGTGCGACGAGATGTGCAGACTGAATTTCCGACTCTGGCTCGGATTCTACGCTCTCAAGATCGTCATCTTCAAGAATTTGGTCGACCATTGGGGTGGCGGCAAGCTTAGCAGATGCATCAACATTCTGGAACGTTGGCTCGTTAGGTGGAGGGGTCAATGGTGCAGCAGCGGCTACAAGGGCTAATAACGGGTCTTCACTAGGGTCGAGAGTGAGTTTCCGTGATGGTGTTTGCTTTCGTCGTAGGGATGTTGGTTGATTTGACCGTTGTGAAGAGCGGCGCGAAAGTGGCTTTTTGCTTAGGTAGTCCATGTGATAGAAGTCTGCACAGGGTCAGCACAACTCATGAGATTGCCATGGCTGTTTAGATGCTTACAGTGGATCATGTGTTCTACAGCCTCCGCGTCATCTTCGCTCAGGTCAATGACTCCACTCTCTGCCTCTCTGAAGCCGCCTCGACATGCGCCCTCGAAAAAGGTCGATCTGGTTGCGAGAAGTATGCGGTGTACTTGGTATCTTTTGGCTCCACAAACAATGGTCAGATCTGAGTATTGGCCACATTGAAACAGTCTGAAAAGACTTAGCTGGGGTTGAATAGACGACAAGGGGCAACTTACGAGGCCAATGCGGACTTGAGTTCGATCATTGGGGCGTCCATTGTGTGAGTAGAGTGTGTGAGATTGTTTGATATGTGCTTGTCGACTCGGACTGGCGGAAGGAGGCTATTTGAAGCAGATGTTTGTACACCCAGGACCCTGGCTTTAAAGCAAAAGAAAAAAGTGCAGAGCAACGGCCGCACTGTTATGACGGGTTTAATCCTAGCTTGCTACGCAACAGTGCGTAGGGGTACGTAGGGGTCGGCGATGATCTCACGCAAGCGCCGTGCGGGCCCGAGTGTATGGTAAGGCTGATGAACCAAAGGGACCTAACTTGCCGGACCGTGAAGAGCGGTGGATGAGGCTGGTAAGGGCGGGCCGGCTAAAACCTGTCGTGGTAATTATGGAGAATTGCAGATCAAAAGTGCGAAGAGGATGGTGAAGGCACCAGGGCGGGAGAAAGGGTTTCTTGTAGGCTTTGCCCTACCGGCTCGCAGCAATGGCACGCTGGCGTCAGTCGCGGAGGGCGCGTCCATCTGGATGACATGGGGTGGTCCATGGACCGGTTCCAGGCAAGTCACAGGGTGTCCCTCTGTTCTATCAGCGGCCCAAAATTTGAGCTGACACGCAACGCTTCGCCAGATGAACCGAATGGCTTGGCTTTGGCGTAGCGTTTCCTGGCTAGAACCAGACTGGGCGACTTTGCTACAAGTGCATCTGGAACAGCAGGGTCAGGAATGTCACGCGAAAGCCTAATGGTCTAGTGGCTGCAGTACCATGCTGAGGGCGACGTCTGAGGGCGGCATGAGCGCATGCAAGGCCCAGGGGACGTGGAGGCTGGCCAAACGAGCGGCAGAGCACCATGACAGGAGGCAAATGACCTGGAAAACGCGCAAGACGATGCACAATCATTTGCTTTGCGCATCAAAGCCTCCCTGGTACTGACTGACTCCTTGCAGTCGGCGAAACACGATTGCCGTCCTCCGCGATGGAGGTCGTGGAGTCAAAGAACCGGGGTGGGGGAGGAGATGGGAGATGGCAGAGAGAGAGAGAGGGAGCTTCTTGACTCATTCCGCTATGCTGCACTGTGTCTCTTTGGAGATGCGCCACAGCCCACAGCGACGTAGCTGGTGCGGCTGCAACCTGTGTATCTCCAACGAAGGTTCAAACGTTGCTGCATCCTGCCATGAACAGGAGACGAAGAAATTATGCCTGTGTCGACTGTGCTGCCCCATTCAGCATGGATTTCAGTCTGCAAGTGGGTCTTGAGGTGCTGTTGTCAATGCCAGTCGCAACAGATCAATGGCAGGCTCGCAGCGGAGATGCAATCATCGTGAGCATGGACACTGAGTGCATGCGTACGTGTACTGTGAGTACAGGCTTGGTAGACGCTTGTATCGTCTCCAAGCACTGCTACTCGACACTTCACGCGGAAGAGGTCCAGACAGAGCATTAGCCACGTGCCGCAAGCCGCAAGCCACGCCCAAGCCGACGGAACAGAGATATGATGCGATATGATCTGATCGGATACAGTTGTGGCAACGCTATCGCCAGTCTAGATGGTGCTAGGCGATCAGGGCAAGCTGAGAAGAAGAAGAAAAAGGCGTGCGCGATTGGTAGGCCGCGGAGACACAGCACGAGCTGGGCTCA